AGGACGGGTGGCTCAACGATCAGGAGATGCACAACTTCCAGTCCAAGTGCTTCGACAAGCCCCTAACCCCCGAAGATCTCGAGAACATCAAGTTGTCGATTGGCAAGTCCGTCCCGCACTTGTCGACCGAGAAGGGTATCGATCAGAGAGGGTTCTTGCAACTCAACAAACTCTATGCGGAGAAGGGTCGGCACGAGACGATCTGGATCATACTGCGCAAGTTCCGCTACACAGACAGCTTGAGCTTGGAAGATAGCTTCTTGCGACCCAAGTTTGATGTACCCGAATATTCGTCAGCAGAGCTGAGCCCAGCAGGCTATCGCTTCTTCGTAGATTTGTTTCTGCTGTTTGACAAGGACAACGATGGTGGTCTCAACGACAAAGAACTAGAGGCCCTTTTCGCACCCACGCCAGGACTTCCTGCCTCCTGGATTGAAACATCCTTCCCATCGTCGACCGTACGTAACGAGGCGGGACACGTCACACTGCAAGGATGGCTCGCTCAGTGGAGCATGACCACATTCATGGAGCCCAAGATCACGCTGGAGTACTTGGCGTACCTTGGCTTCGAGCCTGCAACCGCCCGGGAAACCACGACAGCCGCTCTGAAGGTGACCAAGTCGCGCAAGAGGAGGAGACGCCCAGGCAAGGTAGAACGCAATGTCGTGCTGTGTTACGTCCTGGGTGCTTCAGGAGCTGGCAAGTCCTCATTACTGGATGCCTTCCTGAATCGGCCATTTGATACTCTTCACCGACCAACAATCAAGCCGCGCCGGGCCGTCAACAGTGTCGAGCTTCCTGGTGGCAAGCAGTGTTATATGATCATGGAAGAGCTGGGCGAGCTCGAGCTCGCCATCTTGGAGAACCAGGCCAAGCTTGATGCCTGCGATCTCATTTGCTACACTTACGATTCCTCGGATCCCGACTCCTTCTCTCATATCGTCGACTTGCGCAAGCGCTACCCGCAACTGGATGACCTTCCCAACATCTACACAGCTTTGAAGGCGGACAAGGATAAGACAACGCAGCGCAGCGAGACGCAGCCAGACACGTATACGTCAAGCCTCATGATGAGCACACCTCTTCACGTCACAGTAAAGTGGTCTAGCATCAGCGAGCTTTTCATTGCTCTTGCCGAGGCGGCGACGAATCCCAGCACCGCTTTTCCTCGAAGCGAAGAGCCGCCGCCAGACCGCACAAGTCTCTATCTCGCTCTGGGCGCGACGGCCTGCGCTGGAGTTGCGGCTTTCATGATCTGGCGGCGATCGACGACGTCCGCTTAGAAGAGGGCTAGATTCTAGGCGCTTTGATTTTCCCCGCTTGCATCTGCTCGGAGTTGGCGCGATTTCGCATGTCTCATCATCCGCTCGTTGAAATACAATTATGATACCCAACTCCGCCCTACACTTATACTTAGGCACTTAGTCTCTAATCAACGTAATATCACCGTATCTGTCATGTCGAGACGTTTATTGGCCCCTATGTTTGAATTCTTAATGTTTGCCACGCCAACTTGAATCGACCGAGACTTCTCATTTCCTTCCAACAGTGTTGTCTAAGAACTGCTAGTCCATTGTCGCTTCCTACTCAATACTCATGCTCGAGCACTCTTTCTCCCGTTTGTCATCTCAAACATATGCTGGATACAAGGGTGGTGTGTTCCAGCAAAGTTCCGTACATGAACACCAGTCATCTATGTGTACGTATCTCTGCACGAATACGGGCACGAGGATTAACGAACCTGACGGCGGGTAGTTTGACAAACAAAGAACTCTCTAAAGGAACACCTCTAAGCGGTTCATGTTAACATGTCGATAGGGCCAGTACCTTCCGCTCACTGGCAATTGTGCAGGCGACCGGCTACCTTCGTTCGATGCCCTCGCGAGGCCAGAGAACTACATTAAGGTACTTGAGGTATGAATAGACGAACATATATTGTTGGTTCCACGGGGCCGTATACGACAAATAGTGGTAGCAATTATCACTCGTCTGTTGGTGATCCTATTGCTTGTTCTTCTTGTTTTTCTATCTTACATTGTAGACAGGAGTCGGTCGAAGTAGGTAGTGACGGCCTGGGTGGTTGCCCCACCTTTATCCGGCCGTGATGACTAAGCCAGTTGTCCCACTTCGCCCAGGGCAGGTGCCAGCCAGCCCATGGTACCTGCCTATTACTCCTTAACAGCCTTTGCTGTTCCAACATATATAAGACATCTAAGAATATTACTTTGAGCTCTTCTTTCTCCTATGGGCCTTGATAGAACGACATAGAAGCGTGACTCGGCTAAAATATGGTTCATGAAGCCCAATAGCTTGGTCCCGCTGCTTATGTCGTGTCAAGAACACATTTTGTATGATGGCGTTTTCTTTTCTTATAGCCTTTAATACCCTATCTCTCTATCATACGAAGCTGACTTGTTGGATTTATGGTCTCTACGAGTGGGTGGCTCAACATCTACGCCCGACATGTGATGACTCTATATATGACTTAAGAACAAAGTTATATGAGTGTCTTGGTAAATAAAGGGTGCTCTCCGAGTGTCGAACATCTCTTCCCTTCTATAGCGAACGGCTAAAACACATATTGGAGAGAGAGAGAGATGGCGGCCTAGGTCTTCTCGTCGAAGACGGGGATCGGCTCGCAGGGCTCGTCACGATTGGAAGTGACAGTCTAAAGCAAGGACCATACCGGAGCAGCACTCGCTGCGCCGTGTGCGCGCAGTGGGTGGGGACTTCAGGTATCATCCGGGTCTTGCCTCTCTTTACAGACAATATATTACACGGTTCCCAGTGGAGCAAAACAAGATTTGACTAGGCCCAAGACTCGCTCATCAAGCTGGCTCAATTCCGATGCGCATGAGTTCTCTTGCTCTTAGGAGAGAGTAAGACGCCATTATTAAGATAAGAAGATCAGAGCCCGCCGCCATTCCGCAATAACCTACATCGCCACCTTATTCTCCAAAGAATATTGCGTTGCTGGCAGAGATCGATATATTTCGCTACCTTTATAATGTATTGCTTTTAGAACCACGCAAGCTATCATATTTATCAAGAGCCGCATTCAAGCTGCTTAGATGGGCAGCACAACTCAGGCATACAGCTGTGCCAATAAGGAGACCAGGTGACGGCTATGGTTCGAGGCCGGAAAAGTCGAGGGGGTCTATGTGTTTTAAAATGCAAAGCGACGGCAGGGTTACGTGCGCGTTCGCATAATATGTAGAAGGGCGGAAGGTCTTGATAGTTCTTGACGTGTGGGTGGCTCCTGGGCGATCGTGGATTCGGCGTCTTTTATCTAAGCCCTTGCGCCAGACACAACGAGAGATCGTGGCTGTCTGCCTGTCTATCTTAAGGGACGCGAAGTCAGTACTGTAAATTCACATGAATTAGAATCACTGTGATCCTTTGAGCCTTATTATCACAAAGCGAGGTAGCAAGTGGAAGACATGTATAGTAGAAAGTGGCTTGATTCCTCTAAGTGGAAGATCCGTATGAGGGTCATATCTATATACCGTACAAGACGGGTAATCGGCTTGTGGAAAGCGGTATCGTACGGCAGTAACCGGCAGCGCCACGTGTGGCGCTGCGATACTTATTCTATGGTAAAAGTCCTCCTGACTCTGTATTATATGAGGTGTCTAGAAACCGCAACGGAAGAAGGCTTGACCTCGGCCGCCATGAACAGTATGCTACTTCATTTCCCCCCATACCACCGAGTTCTTGATCCCGAAATACAATGTCTGCGGGCCACCTCAAACTGACGGAGTGAGTCAGAGAAAGCCTGGTCGTGGTTTTGCAGATCACTATTTGCTTCTGCTCTCTCGCTCGGCGCGTCCATGAAGAAGGGACTTGAGAGAGTCAACGGCTTTGTGATTTCACCAGCCTTTAGGAAGAAGAATGAGTCGAGATATTTGCTATGTCGAAATGAGAGAAGCCCGAAAGAGGAGTCCTGGTCCTCTCGCTATGGCGCGAAGTAACGTGAGGGTATTGAATCGGGTGTTGATCTTAGTATGCGTCAACAACGCACGTTAACATGAGACCCGGTCTTTTGAGATGAGAAGCCTGGTATTGGTCTGTTAGTCCATTAATGACATCAGTCTTGATACATTTGCTGCAGGTAGGTCTCTCTCATATCTTCAACTTCATAATTATCCTTCAACTTCACGGGCAAAAGCGCATACAGAGCTCGCCAAACACGGGGTCTGTATGATCTAGCTACTCGCCAGCTTTAACTAAAGACAGACATTCTATCATACCTCTATTTTCTACAAACCATAACACTTGACACTCTGCAGTTCAAGTTCGGCAAGCGGGAAAGCAAAGAGCACGATACCAGAGCTAACTAACAAATCTCACGGCGCGAATGGTCGCAATATATGGTCTCGGTTGCCCTGTAGCGTTCAAAGGGCTACGTCAGGTCAGAGCAATATAAAATCACAGCCTAAGGTACGCCCCGACCTGGGTAATGCAGCCAAAGCATTTGAATTCGATGTTGAAGATGACCGTCGCACCGTGTACGACGATGGGCATTCTGTTGCAGGAAGTGCTTGAACACCAAGTACAAGCATTTTACTTACACCTCAAGAAGTCTCAAACGCCTTCAAAAGCTCTCTTCAACTCTCACCATCGCCATGTCCGTATTCCCTTGGCATGATCGAATACCCAAGGACCCTTACAAGACAAGAGCGTGGGTGAGACACATTTGGGCTTGATCACACGACCGCTTGCCCAGCCCTTCCTCGTATCCACATTCGCCGGTGCCGCCACAGTTCTCCTCAATGCGAGTAAGGCCGCTCGATCTCATACCCTCGTTTCGAGGACCATCATCTCTGCCTCTCACGATTCACAGAACGCGGTCAACCGGCTTAACGAACGAACCCCCAGCGGCAGCTAGGTCCGTCCTTATATACGATGTCCGCTGGCCCGATCGCCAGCCTCACCGCACCTCACTTCACCTTATCTCACCCAGCCACCCCAGCTCACAGCACCCTCAAGACCGCAAGACGTGAAAAAGTCAAATTCATAAGTGGTATTCCAAACTGTTTCCGGCCGTGTACTCAAGAACTCAAGTCGTTACCATACACGAAGAAGAAGTGCGACCAGATCAGACCAAAAGAGAAAAGAAGACAAAGACAGCCCCCAAACAAGCTGACAGGGAATCCTGATCCAAGAAATAAGTACAGCTTCATGTAGCACTGCATGACCGACACTCCCATAGAACCCAAGCCCGAACCCAGAGACACCCGTGTTGTTACCCGAGAAAGACCGAAAAAGCCAAGGAAGAAATACAAGAAAAGTCCATCCCGATGTCTCAGACCCAGACTCACATCGTACACTTGACTTGTTATACAGCCTTGTCAAAACCCCCTCTGTCCCATTTGTGTCCCATAAGCCGGGCATATAAATAACTTTTCACGCCCCTCATCCCAATCTCCATCAGTCGTTGGTTCTTCCATACTCACTCATCATCACCTCAATTCATCAGACGGCCCCCGTTGACGGGAATCACCGTACCCGTAATCCACCTCGACTCGTCGCTCGCCACAAACGCAACAACGTCGGCAATGTCCTCGACAGCACCCAGCCTCGCCTCGGCAGGCGTAAGCGAAGCCCTCTCCAAGTCGGCGCTGCGCTGGTCGTCGGGCAGCGAGTCAAACATCTCCGTCTTGACCGTCCCCGGGCTGATACAATTCACAGTTACGCCATGCGCCTGCCCCATCTCTCGCGCCGCGACGCGCGTGAACGCCTCGACGGCCGCCTTGCTCCCCGCGTAGGCCATGCTGCCCGGCGAATCAGCGCGCGCGGCGACGGATGAGATGTTGATGATGCGACCGCCCGGCGCAATATGCGGCTTGACGGCCTGCATCATGAAGAACACGGCGCGCGTGTTGGTGTCGAAGATGCGGTCGTAGTCCTCGGTAGTAGTGTCGTCGAGCGTCGCGCTGAGCGTCGCGGCGGCGTTGTTGACGAGGATATCGATCTTGGTGACTCCAAACGCCATCATGGTCCGCTCGATGACCTTCTTCTGATGCTTGGAGACGTCGGCTTGGATGGCGGTCGCCGAGGACCCGCAGGCCTCGATCTCGGATATGACCTCATGGGCCTTGGCTATTGATGAAGTGTTTACAAAGGTGAAGGCGACCTTCAATCACGCGAATCACGAAATTCTAGCTTTAGCCGAGATTCTCATTTAAACAAGATTGAGGTCGGTAGAGACGCACCCTGGCCCCTTCTCGTGCGAGCTTCAACGCAATGGCGGCGCCGATGCCTCGCGCGCCGCCGGTGACGATGGCGACTTTGCCTGACAAGGACATGTTGGGCGGCGGGAGCTGTGGCAGCGGCTTAGTCCACAGGGCAGATGATGCGCGTCGCGCGAGACTTTCGCTGATTGCTCCGTCGCTAATCTGAGGCGACTGGCTTTGCTGATGCTGCTCTTGCTGGCTCAGCGATCTGGTCAGATGAGACTGTGATAAAGGCACACTGTCAGCTTCGATGTCTGTTGGCATCCGCGGCCGGAATCCCGGTGTAGTGCAGCAGAATACCGGCAGAGTCTGGCTCTGGAGCCAGTGCGTAACGGCTCGGAAAGCCATTTGACTGGGATCCGTAGTCATGGCATTATCTTCAGTAGGTGCGACGTCCATGCAGATATGCTGCATCGGTTTGAGATATGTGATGCGATGACGAAGGCTGGTGAAGGCTGGCACACACACACCTTGCAGTTGAACGTCAGCCTGATCATGCACACCAAGGTCTCCCGTGCGTTGGAGATGGTGTGGCGGCGCGGGGAAACTCGACGTGTCGATCGTGCTGGATGACCAATGTAAGACAAAGCTCGAGAAGGTCTAGTCCACACTTTCTGCTGCAAATCTACCCATTCCGCCACATTTTCAATAGCTCGCGCAAGCTCTTTGGCTCCAGACTCAAGCAACCTGCAAGGAAGGACGCGGACCCTGTCTGTTGCAACTGTAAGGGTGAGGATTCGGACAACGAGCCACACATCAAGTGGCATTTGGGAGATGGGAATCGTGTTCCATTGATGTTACTGTGAAGTTTTGGGGGCCCAGACGTCCCTCTGACAGACGACCAACGGCATATCGCTGCAGCCCGCAGTGCGCCTTGATATGTGGGAGATACGTGTAGGTAGTTGGCTCAGCTGCACACTCCAATGCTTCATTGTCGATCGCTTGATCACCAGCACTTGCTATCGAAAATGGCAATTATAAGATCAAACTGAAGTCGTGTAATCGTGAGTCAGACTGCTGATTCTGATATGTCCCATAAGGCGTCAAGCGCGCAGATGCGACCGCAAGGCGAAGAAGGGAATTACGAGAGCGCCTGAATGGAAGGCCGTAGGTACACAGATACCTAGTTGAGGGTTGCTTCCGTACACTTCAGTAGCGCTATCTTTCGGTAACACGCATTTTCCACTGTTCAGCGACTACCCGATGACGGGCTGCGGTCTTCTTCACTGGATGCCAGTGGATGGCGACACTTGCTAGGAAGCGGCAGATGGGATGACATGCTACGCTGCGATCGCAGTTGGGCGGCCTCTGGTTGGTCTTCCCCGTGCGACGGTTTTTTTTGCGACTCGGCTGGGGCGCTTCGCAATGGACCGTGGACCCGTGGTTATGATGGTGTTGGACTGTGCCTGTGGGTGGACAGGTGCGAAAGTTCTCGACGTCTTGATTCCTTGAAGCAAGGTAACTAAGTGCTTGGCAAGTCGCAAACGGCAAAATGAAAGAAAGACGTTGGGTCGCGGGCGTTGGAAACGAGATTGCCGATTCAGGTCACTTTGGCGTATTAGTGGATCCAAGAGGACGGTTGGGCCTTGAAATCAAAAATCCCTAGGCACAAAGGGGGCTCAACTTGCTCAAGGGGCGAGAGTGGGAGATGACCCCGATGAGACGGCGTCGATGGCCGGGACCGCCGGTGGTGAATAGGGGCCCGAGGCGGTGACGATGGAGACTGGTCCACTGGCCCTGCATCTGACCAGCCCTTGGTCTCCAGTCTCCAGTGTCTCTCCAGTGTCCAGTCCTTCGAGAAGGATGTGGAAGACGGCCGTGGTGCATGGGTTGCATTCCACGCATTGTTCAGGGAACCCTCAACTTTGGAGCTCGGAAGTCTTCGTTGGCACAGACTCAGAGGCCGTGGAGAGGAAGGTAGCGCAAAGTCGTGCCTCGGACAAAAAAAAAAAGAACATAGCAAACTGATGACTGAGTGAATGAGGAGACGCCCGAACCTTGTCCTGAGATCCGATGTTCCCTGGCATAAAGTGGTGAGCTATTCTGGGGACTTTGTCTTTGGCCAGGTTGGGGCCCTGGGATCGCCCTGCAATTCTGGGCAAACGGGTCGAGCTAGTGTCGATTTTCGGCAGCAGCCAGCAGTGAAGACCGATGCTGTTTCGACGTCGGCCGGAAGGGTAGGTATAGGTAGTACACGTGCTGATGGCAGTCATCGTGGGAGGGAGCATTGACGGAAAGGCGCAGTATCTTTATAGAGTCAAGCCGTTGTCCTCACGGAGCTGGTAGCACAACCCAGAGTACTTGTAGGAAGTTGAAGGGATAGTGTCGTGTCGCAGGCGCGAATAGTACGATGTGAGGGCCGGGTGCACATGGAGCGTCCCTTGGACCAGGTGGGTTGTCCCTGCTTTGCTCGGATCCGGATGTGGCAGTGACGGGGACGAGAAACGCGCGCTTTGAGCGTGACAGATTCAGCTCGAGTTAGAGATGAGAAGCGAGGGGGCTCTGAACCCGTATTGTGGTTTCCTTGTTTCATTGCGAGTAATCTGAAAGACTGGATTTCTTCTCGTCCTTTGGTGAGTTGAGATGACGGACTGGTTGTGTACGAAGTGTACGGAGTACGACGTATAGGCAGTGCGGCCATGGCCCTATCCATGTCTCATCCACTGGCAATATCCGGGCCTCGTGGTTAGCATGTGCTCTTTGGGGAGAGTCGGCCGGAGCCAACTGTATCGGACTCGGGTCAAACTCATCATCCAACATCAAGTATCGGGGTCTTGGCTTAGACCTGTAATGCGAGAGTATTCGTATAGAGCTAGGCAGCAGTGATGAAGGCACTAGCAGGAGTCGATGTCATCCATAAGGTGTGTATGTTGATTAGGTGGTATTCATATTGTTCCGCTGATGATTATGAATGACTGGTAGTTATTGTTGAGGTTGCAGGTACCTTAACGTGGTAGAATAAGGTACGGGTAGGTAGGTAGTAGCCCGCTATCTTTTTTTCCCTTTCTTTTCGGGCTCTCTCTATCTTTCTCCCCGCCCTTCCTTTGCGCCCCCCGCCGTGCCCGCACATGCAGTTGCCCGTCTTGCCGCCTGCCGCCTGCCGTGTGTCTGCCTCCAACTTGATGCCAAAACGGCAGCCAGTCAGTTCGCAGTCCACGGCCCCAGGGGCTCCTTCCCCTCTCTCTTCAGTAAGGTACCTATCTGCAAAGAGTGAACGGACGATACGTACTTCCCAAGGTAAGGTAGTGTGTAAGCTCAGGCACGGGTACGGACGCATGCACGACTCAAAATGCAATTCAACTCAGCTGAACGGACGATAGACTAATGTATTATGAGGTAAGAGGATGCCCTTACGTGCATTAGGTAAGCTTTCGGTTGTTCGATGCTTGCTTGTCTTGCGCGACCCTGAGCCATTTGATGTTGACTGCCCTGGTCCAGGATGAAGAAGACAGTCCCAATTATTCCACAAAGCCGATGCTTCCATACTGATTTGAATTGGTGCTCATACCCGTACTTCGTACACATCTCCTTGACTGTAATTACCTTACATAACACAAGGTAAGTATTCATACCTAAGGTACGTCAAGGCAGATTGTCGCGAGAAAGGAACCCCCCCCTCAAAAAATCAAAAAAAAAAAAAGGCAGAACCGTATCGTTGGCAGTTGGCAGTTGGCAGTTGCCCGTTGACTTTTGGCTGAGCACGTGACAGGGAAGCGGCCTTTTGTGCCAGACCACTGCACTTTACTTTGACTGGCCGCTCTTTTTCCAAAGCAACGCCTAGCCCAGTCTGGCTGGCGCTAATGCAGTCTTGGTGGCGCTCTCCTCTCCAGGCTACAAATGACACCAGCCGATTGGGGGTCGAGCCATGTACTCGGTACTTACTCCTTTCAGAACTCCACTCCGCCAGTTCCAGCATTTCGCTCGCTTCCGACGCAAATAACGGCACTCTTTCCAGGATGGTCTCTGCAAATAGACTTGTACCTGTCTACTTCCATGGTCCCCCAAAGTATCTGATCTCCACGACGTGACCTCGACTTTGGTGCTGCACTTCGTAAGGTAGCGCCTGTTCATCGCCCTTTCTGCCAGTCAACCCTCACGCTCGCTCGCGCGCTCTGTCTTCTGCCCGCTCCCCCCGTCCTGCAGTAGGGGGTTGACTTCTGACTTGACTGGCTGCAGTCCCGTCTGCCTGTCTCTTCCAAGGTTGTCTGCACCGACACCAATCCCAAATACCCTCTCCAAAAAGTCCAGTTCTCGACACAAGACTGGACGGCGAGGTGAACTATACCATCCAAGGTTGAGGTTGACTGACACCATTTGCCTTACCGAGCGCTACAACAACTTACCAACAACGTTCCCTTCTCCTCCTCCTCATCCTCCACCACCACTGACTGCCACGCCCACCACCACTACCACCTCCACCATCATCTCTCTCTACCTTAACAATACCCGACGACACAACACAACTTAGCACAAGACACGCCGGCCAACTGCCCACTTGGTCCAGTCTCGAACCGACCCATCCTCGCCTGTTCCGTGCTCTCAACAGCATAATTTGCCGCTTGCTTTTTCTCCTTCTCTCGTTTGCAACGGTTGACTTCTCCAGTCTTTTCAACTCTTATCGTTGTACATCCCGGGTACCGCTCCAATAGACTCTCCTTCCCATGCGATCTTGAACGACGCGACCGAAGAATCCATACCTGTATCCGTATTCCGATCCCGACCTCGTTCCAACTCCCGCCCTCGACACTCCCGTTCGTTCCCACGCCGCGCCTATGCTGCCCTCCACCCTCGACAGATGAGAGCTCAACTACGCATTCTTTTCGAACGAGATATTTGGCAGACGAGTGGTGCATTCTAGGGAATCATTGGCTTTCCGGCCTCCCTCCAGGCCATTTCCTTTCCTAGATGATGGTGCGTAGACTTGCCCATAAATCGCCACTGCACCCAACGCTCTGAGCGTCTTTCGAGTCGACTTTGTTGAGCATGGCGCGCTTCCTTTCTTTGCCTCTATTTCAAGCCTCGAACTTTACTCGCTGAGCCCCCTTTCACTGAACAGCACCTTTGACTAACTCTCCGTGCTATCCGCAGACCTCATCTAGACCCCGCGCCGATGTTGGTGGCAGCTTTGCGAGTCGACGCGGTCATGCGAGCCAGCTGTCAATTTCAGACCCCAGCCACCATGTGACCGAGACCATTGGAACCCTATACGGCGACGAGGAGTACGACAGCGATGGCCGACCCATCAGCTACCTTGGCCAGTCCTACACCGACCAGCTGAACAACAAATTCGAATCCGATCACCCCGACGAGGATCCTCGTAGGCAGATGATCCGTTCGGCTTCGGACAAGACAGGAGGCTTGGGCATGGCACAAAATGGCTCGACGACTCTCAAACATTCGCAGACTTTGCCAACGCGGTCGCCTAGCCAGCGAAGCATGTCCTTCGAGAACGGTCCTAAATCGCCGCCAATCTCCCTACGAGATGTCAAGAACGAGTCCTCTCAATTTCCTCTAGGCAGCATCGAGAACCCGAACGACATTGCGCAGGAACTCAACAACTTGCAAGCCCTGCGGCGCATGTCTATGGACGTCGGGAACAATGCTGACCCTGATATGCTACCCTTTTCTGGCTTGTCCCTCGTCGCCATGCCTCCTATCGCACCAACAGGGGATGACGACGAAAATGACCCCTCGAGGTTACTCTGGGTCCCTGCGGCAGTCCATCCCGAGCTGGCGCCGACCGAATTCAAGACCTTCTTGGAGGATCGTGTCAAGACTATCCGGCGACGGTCCGGCGACTCCAGCGATGGTGGTATGGGCCGAAGCGATTCTGGCGGCGGCTTGCGAAGGAAGAAGAGCATGCTCTCACGGCAAATCGACAATTCTGGGGGAAGAGGCGCCGTTGGTTACATAGACGGCGCTGAGAGACTCGGACGGAAGAGCTCGCTCAGAGATTATTCGACCCCTGAGCTCAATCTGAACGAACTAGTCAAGGACCCGTCCAAGGTGGTTCGCGAGCTTTCCGAAGGTGCTCAACCGGAGGCTAGCGCTGAAGATTTGCCTATCTTGCCTGTAGCTCCCGGCATGGGACTTCGTCGGTCAACCCGAACAACATACCGAAAGAACGGCAGCGTACGCTCAGATCGGCTGCCATTCTCCAAGCGAGTCGCCAATCGGCATGGCCACACGGATTCCTCTGACTCTGCCGATACAGTCCCTCCTCTGCCATCTGACATCCCTGACGTGCCCCCGTTGCCCACGCAGCAAAGACCTCAGTCAGAGCCAGTGTCAGAGAACTTCTCGCGTCCCAATCGATCGGTTCGACGCCAGCACAAGTTCTCTCAGGATCTGGGCGCGACGTCCGACGGTGCTTCGTCCGAAATCGAGGAGCCAGTCTCTCCCCTGAGCACACGTTCTGAGCAGCAACACCCAACGAGAACTTCTTCAGTCTCAGCTGACGCCAAGCCCCCGGTTCCTGCCATTGTTGAGTCGCCAGCGACCGATGAGCAGAGGCAGCAGTTTCCTCAGAGGTCCTCATCCTCACAGCACGCTCCTTCACAACCGCTCATGGATGAGCCTCCCGCTCGGTCGAGCAAACGACCTGGTTCGGCCAACTCTGCGCCAAGCCCCACGACACCGACGGCCCCTCAACAGCCGCCACAGATGCAGCAGCAGCAGCAGCCTAAGCAGCAGTCTAATGCTCCTAATCACACCTTGAACGATATGGCTTCTCACCCATCTGTCTTACCTGGCAGTGGCGCAAATCGAACCGATACGTTGACTTTCATCCCCACTCTACAGCCAGAGGAGAAGAAGCCAGAAGAAAAGAGGGTAGAAAAGAAACTGAGAAAGGAGAGAGATGATGATGCTTCTAGTGTATCCTCGAGCAAATCTTCCGGCGGCTGGTCAAAGTGGCTCAAGGGTGGTAGCGATGACAAGGACAAGAAGAAGAAGGAAGAGGAGAAGAGGAAAAAGCAGCAAGTCGCCGAGAAGGGGCAGGACAATGCCCGTCTGGATGTTCTCCAGAACTCGATAGAGGGTGCATCTTCCAAGGGAAGAGAAAGCATCATCGTGGACCGTGACAACGTCGACAACAAACTGGCTGAAGAGCGAAAGAAGGAGAGCAAGAAGTCGGAGGCCAAGAAGGAGAAGGAGGGTGGTCTCTTCTCAGGCCTCTTTGGCGGTGGCAAGAAGAAGAGCGAAAAGGAGAGCAGCAGCAAGAAGAACCAACATCTCCGGGTATCGGAGGAGGTGCCGTACCGCCCGCTCAAGGCTGACGTCGACTACCACTGGACCAGATTCCCATTGCTCGAAGAACGAGCGATTTATCGGATGGCTCACATTAAGCTCGCGAACCCGCGTCGCTCTCTGTTGAGTCAGGTTCTTCTCAGTAACTTCATGTACAACTATCTCGCCATCGTCCAGGCCATGCACCCGCAGATGCAGGTCCCTCAGTCGCCGCAGCAAAGACGTCTGGAAGAGGAGCGTCGCCGCAAAGAACAGGAAGAGCAGTACTTGGCGCAGCAACAGCAGCAGCAACAACAAGAGGCGGGGGAGCAGGACTCGACGGGCCAGTACAACTTTGACTATCACCGGGTATGTTGATTATCCCTCCTTCAGTCCGGAGACCCAGGCTAACTTGATTCCCAGGGCGAAAACCAGTACGGCGACCATCCTCACGATGAGGTGGACTACGTTGATGATGCTCAAATTTACGAATACGACCATGGCGGCGACGTGGACAACGGACGCAGCAATGGCTACCAAGGCCCTGACAGCTATGACCCTCAGCCTGGCAAGCAGTATTATCACGACCAGTATGGGCGTGACGGCAGCGGCGACGACGTAAGGCGCCGGGACGACCGAGAGGACATGTGGTGAGAGAAGCAGTGGAAGCAGAAGCAGCTGTAGCTTCTCGCAGGAATGACATTCTTGGACGGCGAGACTCCTTGGCTCTGCCTCGGATTGCAGTCTTGAACCCAGTTGGAAGGCGCTGTGTAATCATCCAAACGTATGTGCATAAGGCGGAGTTGATGGATTGAGTGCAACATATATTCAAAAGGGGAACTCATGGGTGGCTTGGCTAAGCCTCCATCGGTCCCTTCATTTTCACATCCCTTTCATATCTTCATATTTAGTATCCTGCAGGTTTGACTTGTCGTGGACGGGCGGTGGAGTGCTTTTGTTGCAGCACATGTAAACAGTTAGCATAGCGACCGGCATCTTCTGGAGGCTACTTAGGTTCGATTGCGACACGCGGGGAAGAAGAATAGAGTAGCGCAACCACGGCATGTGGTGGACCCATTTCTTGCTCCTCACTTGCTTCCCCAATACTTTGCCCAAGTCGGGCGCGACCTGAGTCGTTGGGATGTCGTTGTTTCGGCTTCCGGCCTCCGGACTCCCGCCTCATCCCGCCGGGCCTTATCCCAGGGTTGGACCTCACGTGCCAAGGTCCTGAGAGTCCCAAGGTATCTACCTACCTACCTTGAGTTAAGGTAGTTTTGGGGTACCATGATCCTTTGAGGGAAACCAATGCTGTATCTCTGTGTAAGGACAGAAGTTGCCACTGCAGGTCTGAAAGATCAAAGAGAGTGAGCTGAGGTGCTGTTGGCCTCTGTTTGAATCGAATGTCGTGTCTATCCCTGAGAGGTCCAACTCGGGGCAAAAGTGAGCAATAAAGTGAGGAGCTGAGGTCCGGCTATGTTTAGCGCTACCTGGAAGGCAGCTGCCCGAGCCCCGCTGTGGTGCCTGGAGGTGCCCAGCAGACTCTCCCGTCCCGTCAGTCACTCAGTGAGCTTAGGTAGGTAGGTCCCAGTGGAGGTTCCATTCGAGCCTTTGAGGTGCTCAAGTGCTGTTCTGCCTGCCCGCCTTGCCCGCCCCAGGAAGAGTAAGGTACCTAACCAGCTGGAGGTGCTCTTGGGAAGGCCCAGCACTTTACCTTACCTCAGTAGCCCCTGCCAGCTGTGAGCATCCGCGCTAAACCATTTGGGGCAAGAGCAGCCTCTTCTGGCAGTGCGCCAATTCGTCCGTTCGTTGCTTCCACCTACACCTTGCACTTTTCTTTAACCTCCAGAAAAATATCACCAGCCTTGTAAGGGGAGCTTATTCCTTTTCTCGTCGCAAACATCACCGTCTGCTCCTTCCAACCCCATTTCCATCTCCGTTGATACCCAATTCCTCCCCTCGACGACCTCCCGAACCGAGCACCCGTTCACTCACCCGACGACGACCCCCGAACCCGATCGTCCCCCCCTGCGACCTCCAATCGCCCAATCTCCATCTCGCGATTACCTCGACAACAAACTAGCATGGCTGCCGTGAGTTACCTCCTTTTCTCGTCATTTCAAGCTTCCTATCCAGTGTCATATACCTCTTGATGCTTTCTATCTCACTGCGCACATCCCCGCCCCTGCTCTAACCTCGTTGCCGCGATGCTTCGTTGTTCTTCGGGCGGGACCTTGACAGCTCCTCCTTGTCCCGCTTCTGGCCCCAGTACTAACATGTCATCGATGTTTATAGCCGCGTCCATACAACAACAACCCGGGCTACATGCCCAACGGAGCTTCTTCGATTCCTCCTGGAGCTGCGCCTCTCCTCCCCAACCAGGGTCGCGTTATCCAGACTGGCCCCATCCGAGTTCTGTGCATAGCTGATGTTCGAGGTTCGTCGTCATTCCATCAAGTCCCGTCGGGCAACCGGCTATGAAGCTTGGATCTAACATCAACTTTGATAGGAAACCTCACATCCCTCAACGACCTGGCAAGACAAGCACGAGCCGATCACATCATCCACACTGGCGATTTTGGCTTCTACGACGACACCTCCCTGGAGCGAATCGCAGAAAAGTAAGGAACACTCCGCGACTCTATAACCGACCGTTGTCATTCTGACACTGGTGCGAAGAACCCTAAAGCATGTTGCTCAATACTCTCCCCTGATTTCCGAGCCCGTCAAGAAGGCCATCCAGCAGGGCGGCCCCGGTCCCGTCAAGAGCCGATTCCCTGCCAACGAGCTTCCCCTCTCCGAGCTCTCTCTCCTCCTGAGCGGCGAGATTAAGCTCGATATTCCAGTATACACTGTTTGGGGTGCTTGCGAAGATGTCCGCGTTCTCGAGAAGTTCCGTTCCGGAGAGTATAAGGTACAGAACCTGCACATCATCGACGAGGCCCGCTCGATGCTTCTCGAGCTCGGTGGAGTCAAGCTGCGCCTCTTGGGTCTGGGCGGTGCTGTTGTCATGCACAAGCTCTTCGACAACGGCGAAGGAAGAACCACGATTGCCGGAGGCCAGGGAACTATGTGGACTACCTTGTTGCAGATGGGCGAGCTTGTCGACACCGCGCACCGAGTTTACGATCCCACCGAAACCCGCGTCTTCGTCACCCACGCCTCTCCTGCCCGTGAGGGTATCCTGAACCAGCTTTCCGTCACCCTCAAGGCCGACTTCTCCATCTCTGCTGGACTCCACTTCCGCTACGGCAGCTCATACAACGAGTTCAGCGTAAACCCCACCCTCGACCACTACCGCGGCAAGCTCGCTGCCTCCAAGGCCTCTTTCAACGATGTTTGGGAGACGGTCAAGAACGAGGTCGAGCCAGCCATCTCTCAGAACGAGGGTCAACAGAACCTGCTCAAGAACGCCCTGCAGATTGTCGAGAAGATGCCCACTACCGCTGCTGGAGGCAACCCCTTCGGCGGTCCCGTTGCCGGCCAGGCCCAGCTCGGCCAGGTCGACGAGAGTGCTTTCAAGAACATGTGGAACTTCAACTTGGCTGATGCTGCATTCGGATGGCTGGTGCTTGAGATTCAGGACGGACGTATCGGAACCGAGATGCGCGCCCAAGGCTTCAACTTCTCACACAGAGGTGCCAAGGCCGCTGCGCCTGTTCCCGCCGGACCTGCTGGCGCTGGCAACCTACCTGCCCCGGCGCCTCCCTCTACACAGACTACAGCCCCCCCGCCCACTAGCAGACAGCCTTCTTCTCAAGCGCCTCCCAAGCCGCAGGTCGCAACACCCCTGCCATCAGCTAAGCCTGGAACTCCTCAACCCGCTGCTGCAGCACCGCCTGCCGTGCCTCCCAAGGATGAGCGTCCTGCGCCTGCGCCTGCTAACGGATCAGCCAACGGCCCTGACCCCGTCCCTTCTCCCGCACCCAAGACACCTGCTCAAGATATTGTCGGTCTTTTCATTATGAATGTCAACTCCGAGGAGCAGACTCGTGATCTTTTCGACGGCGAGCACAAGAACAACATCCTCAAGGTCGAGAAATGGGGCAACTCCAACAAGGTTGTCATGTTCAAGACGATTGAGGAACGCGATGCTGCTCTGAACAGCCTTCCCGAAGATCTCAAGACCCGGGCTCAAGAGGACCGGTCTCGTCCCCTCGTCAAGGTGTTCCAACACCGCGAGAGCAAGTTCCAGCCCCGCGGCGGTGCCGGTAACTGGGGCAGCAGCAGAGGCGGTGGTAACTCTGCAAACACTGGCAGCGGCTACCGCAGTGCCGGTGGTGCCAGCGATTCCGAGAGCACCCGTCGTGGCGGCCGCGGTGGTGGCCGAGGTGGACGTGGAGGCGAGCGTGGAGGACGTGGAGGACGTGGTCGCGGCGGTCTGAAGGGCGAAGGTGGCGCCTCCCCCGCCCCCGGTCCTGCTACCCCGGCAGAGTAGGACTCTCCTCCTAAAGCCTTTGATGAAGTATGGGAGATGGCCCAGGCCTCGGAATCGAAGCCACGTGGTCCATCAAATGAAGTCTTTGAAGCTGTAATGGCCAAGTTTGGCCCCTCGCAAGCAGGGGAATGAAAGGACAAAGATTTTATTCGTTTTTTTTGCTGGTTATGAAAGGGAGAAAGGGGGGCCAAAGAAAAAATAAGTGCTACCAATTCTTGTACGCGTATCTTAATGAGACAACTTGAGGGGGGATAGGGGAAAAAGACCTTTTCTTACTCAAGTTTCCGTTTTTCATCCATGTTTGGGGAGTTTTTCTTCGTCGGTGAGAAGTGCATAAAAGGGGGTTGTGCTTCCGGTGGTATGAGATGGTACGAGAGGGGAGGGGACTACCTCTACCTGACTTTGGGTTGCTGTTGAACTTGAGGTAGATGTTATGTGGTTGGTAGGAGTAGTCTCGATGGAATAGATTTCCAATGCAGTTGTCAACCCTGAAATGAGTCTCTTATTTTTGCAGCAAGAGCTCTCTTGACGTCTGAGTATCTTGGCTGTAAAGAATTAATTTACAAGTTGAGGTCCTCAGCTTATGGCTACAGTACAAAAGGACTACTCCGTACTTTTCTGCCATCAATGTAGGAGAGGGCTGTGAGCAAGGTTGGGTTCTATTCCCTTGGGAGTGGTTAAAATTGCAGTGAAAACGAGACGCAGACCCTGACTTGTGGCGTGTGTTACAGTGTGAGCTGGGCTGTATCTCACATCCTCTCAGAGGGAGACGGAATTGCAGTGCAACGATCGAAGAGTGACCAAAAACACGCGATGAGGATTTCAGGGGGTTGGCAATCGGCACACCTGGTTTCTCTGTGAAATGTCAATAGGTCTTCTCACTAAGAAACATTACATTAGTTTGGATATTCCCAAGACTTCAGAAGTCTGACTTTACAAATACTTTGTCCTAGGCCAGAGTTATATGATTGTAGCATAGAAACAAGGGTACGCGATTATGGGCTTAGAGGAGGACTATGAGGAAGGCTTGGGGTCTATCCCCTTGGAGAAGATTGAGAATGCTGTGTAAGGGGGGTATTTTGAGGCTACGAAGCCTGGGTCAGAGGGTCTTGCGGAATTACATGATAACCGCCATGTCAGAAGTCGCGAGGGAAGCTTGGTTTTTCTTCCCCTTGAGGGAAGTCAAGACTGCAGTGAAATTGCTGACACGGCCACGGGA